CAGTCAATAGAGTAGAGCATGCAAGAGAGGCGAAAACTGTCGTTGCTGTGACTAGAAACATTTCGCATTCATGTCGGCGATCTTCCGAATAAATGCAGCCTATACTCTGGAAAATAAAGCCAATCTTTCCTCAATTTGCTTCTGAAGACTAAAAAAAAACGATAAGACAGGTGAGGGGCTTCAAATTAAAGAATGAAGTTTAGATTTATTAAGAAGGAAAGGAGCTTTGAAGATATTGCGACGCCAAAAAATTTTCGCACGATTATCACAAGCGTGCTAACAGTAAGGCAAGACTTTAATCCGAATCCTCGTTGATCAAGCGTGTGCGGTCATTACGCTGCCGTAGCCATAGCCATAGCCTTCAGTGACATACTTCAGTACGCAACATAAAATCTTTTTGACACATTGCTTCATAATAAAACAACTTTTCGCGGTACCATGTCCAGTGGTTGACTTTGCTGCTGGCTTTTCTGGATTGAACCGCCAGATCTTCTTGAGACATGACCGGCGTACGATATGCTATTCTCTGCATCTGATCATTTAATAATTCATGTCAAAAGAGGTATCGATACTAGACTCTCAAAGGAAACCAGTTGAACTGGATCCGCATTCTTCGGCTGAAGGAGTGTCGATTATGGTAAAAAGTGACTGCGACCGTGATGTCCACTTTGATTCCGCCGCCCCATTAGATTACGGTATACTACAGTCGCGCAAGTTAAAGAGTAGCTAGTGTAGGTGTTGAGACGAATTCAGCGTTTTGATCACCCAGAAGCTACTTCCGAAATTGACGTTCACTATAAAAACTCCGCCAATGCAAAAGTTTGAAGGTACAAAATTGGGTACAGTATATGTCCGGGGCACCTTATGAACGCGACAGCCAAATATTTGAGAATACACCTTCTTACAATCTGTAAGTTTTGGTTAAATATGTACGGCACCATGCAGAGCAGAAGCAATCCCGCCAGAGTCAGCAAAGGTGAATGTCGCCGTGTGAGCAGTGGGAAATCCAAGTCGACAAGCCGTTGCGAGTGGATTGCGCTGCGAACGATCCGCTAGCTGTTGAAGAGGAGCCGATGCAGTAGATGTGGCACCGTCGAGGGTTTTCACTCGAGATCTACAACCGCTCTACTTGAGCAGTCGTACCTCTTGTCGTCGTTCACACTTCCTGAAAAGACCATCGAGTTTTTGTGATGAGCAGTAAACTTCGTGCTTCCTGGCTCTCGCCTTCTTTATCGGACTTCTACACTGAGAGCGATTTTTCGAACACTCCTAGTAGGTTTTCATCATCTTTTCGTGCCAACAGCTCATCCTTTAATCTTTACAAGTAATGATTGCAATCCACATGAGGATAAAGGCTAGAGTAGGGCTACCGTAACGCCTTCGAAAGAGGCGGAGCCAACGGTTCATTGGGCGTGTCTACTCGCTGTCAATTGCACTTCACTTTGAGTGGGCATGTTCAACGTGTCGGCACTTGCCAGTTCAAACTCATTAGGCTCAAGTTTATGTTCTACCCTGAGTTCAAGCCTGAGCTCAACGCTTGGTTCTAGCCTCAGCACGACTACGCTTGGTAGCGGCCTTAACCAAAGCATCGCCACCTCACTGCCAACTCCAGCAGCCGACAGCAAGTGAGTAAACGGCATTTGAAGCAACTTTTTTAGGCTAAATTATTGCTTTTTTAAACAAAATTGTCGTAAAAAGTGGACAGTTTCAACTTCTAAGGTGGTGCCACTCGTCAAAAACACTTGACTCAAGAGTTAGGACGACAACATCGGCGGCCGTCATCGTAAATGTGACATAGAGTGCTCCATTCGGTCTACTTCTTTCATTTTTGTTGAACCGTCGTGAGAAAGTAAAATCTGTCATCAGTAGGACGTCACCGGTATTTCATCCCTGTTGGGTAGCGATCCACGTCGACAAAGGTTGAGTTAGACTGGCCAAATACCTCACATTCCTTACGTTCTCCTTCTCACGCCACAAACATTTAGCTTGTTGCAAAACCTTATGATATTTACGACTAAGGTTAATTTAACGAAGTGGCCAACTTCGTTGAATTAACCTTAGTATCACATAAACAACAGTATCTATATCCAACAGTCGTAACACAGTTTTCCTTATTCATACCGGTGCTAACAGCGTTGCCGCCTGCACTTGTACCTGAAAATCCTAGTGCAAAGAAAACCCGAATGTTCCTTTCATCATTTTTTAGCTAACTATCTTCCCGCTTCAGAACTGAATTCAAATGGGACACTCCTAGCGATTCGTCGACGCAAGCATCAAGCGGCACATGGACAGAACATCTACCGCTCTTGGCTGGTGAGAGTTGACGCTTTTCTCTTGTTTTACTGTATTGGGCTCGCTCCGTCCATCGATATTGATGTTGCTTGAGCTTGACCACTGAACACTACACTGAATCTTCTGCTTCTCACACGCCACCAGAAACTACTGCATTCAGCACCATAACAGTTTTGTGCCATTTTTCCTCTTTCGCCCATTTGCTATTTGGCCAAGTTGACCGCTTTTAGAATGTTCTGTCATGCCTCAGCATACTTTTTGTGTGTGATTTTTCATCAATGAGGGTCCTTCAAAATTTGTAGTCATAGGGTGGCGATGGTGAAAATTCACTAATAAGTCACCTCTAGCGGGCAGCAGGACCATCGAAGTAGGCATTCCTGCTATCGGTCAGTTTTGTTGGGTCGGTAAACCAGTGAGCCTGCTATAATATGACTGCAAGTGTGGTGACGTCTGGAGTTCTAGTGTGCTTGTGAAGAGGTAGCGACTGTGAGCAATGATCTCGATCTCTCATTGCCAGAACCTCTTTAGGTAGACAAAAGAGACCGCTGCACTTGGGCAACAACCCATAACTTACCGTGAGGACGAAATAATTTGACGCGTACTTTTTAAGAAAACTCCGTGGTTTCTCCACACTCTGCGCTTCATTTTGTATGTCAATAGAGCAACAAGAGAATGGAAATGTTGATCAGTCCCTTTTGGGATGCGGCACACATTCTACTCCCTTCAGAATCATGGTGGGTTCTTGAATGCGATATGGCCTATGCAATGGCCTGCGGAGCCAGCCAATGTGCAAGTCAGTGTGGTATCCTCCCAGCCGGATCTGGTACCAATTTACCTTCTCCGGAAGGTTCGCCTGGGTGGGAGCAGATAATGCGATGTTGCCTTTCGAAAGAGACAATGCTTCTTCGTCTTACATTGATGCATTCGAGTCGCAATTTAAAGCAAGGAAGCAATTTAAATACCGTAACCGACTTAAAACTTAACAGTGGCCAAAGCGCGATATAATCCTAGAGCTTATGCGTCTGTGGATGGGCAACATGGTGCCGCCGGAAAGATGTTTGGATACTGTAGTGTCTGGGTCTTCGGCCACGGAGCGATGCGCTGTGTTTGCGCGAGCTGGGTCTCGTCAAATCGCCTACGCTCTCGTGGCGCTCTGTTTGTGTAGCGTTGGAGTATGTTCACGAACACAAACACACACTAGCAAGGCCTTCGTGTATCGCAGATAATCACTATCAGGGATCGGATCAGCTCTGACAAAACGAAGGTTGGCGAAAGGAAGGAAGGAAGGAAGGAATAGAGCGTGAGGTTCAGAGCAAACTCATGAATCTTTGCATTGATTGCGTCCTATTACTTCCGGAGCTCACACTTCCTCTGCTAACAGCTTAGAATGCTGGCTACTGTAACTAAATGTAAGCTCGGAACGCTTGAGATTCTGTAACTTGCCTTCTTAAGAGCACTACAGGTCACCATATACGATGCTTTCGCTTTTAGAATTACCATTGCATCTCGGGGTTTAATAACATCGCTGAAAATAAGTCACGGCTGAGTATCTCGCCCATCCGTATTTGGCCAGTGAGTGGGTGTGGGCCTAAGTGGATCACCCAACACCAAGCAATGAAGTATTAATACGTACAGGTTGAGGGGGGGGGGGTGGGAGACTCGCGCTAAAGAACGCGTTTGCGCAAAGACTTTACAGAACAGTAGAAGCATTTGCTAGTATAATAATATTAACTGGGTGAAGTTAATTCATCGCAACATAGATGAGGAAAGAAAGTTCGGAGAGATCCGTAGAAGAGGCGAGTTTTCGCAATGCTAGGAATCTACTGCGACCATTAAAAGTTATCCCTCCTCAACTTATCTGTTTGGAGTGTTTTGCTTTCTGTACTAAACCACTTGTTGTATTTCGACAGGGCTGTGCGTTCTAGGGGGAGACTGAGCCCTTCGAAAGAATATCTTTGCAGGAGGTGGATTTCCAGTCAGTTTTCACAATGAAGATATCTTGTGACAAGCCCTTTTCAGTCCCTTTCTAACAATGGGAAGGTCGCTACGGTGATGAACGTTAAACGAGCAAAATTTAGCATTTCAAAATCTCCAGTAAAGTCCCTTTGAAATGCTCCGTAAAAGGGAAACCGTTCATAAGTTTTGCCAGGAGAAAGAAAACCTAGTTGTGAAGAGGCTTTTGCAGATTGGGAGCGACTTTGTATCGTGATCTGCACGCGGTGCTCACGACTACAGAAGCACTTCTGTAAGTGATTAATGCGCTGTCACAACCGGTCAGGAGGGAATCATACCAACCCGCCCTTTCGAAAGGAACTGGGTATCGCAGTGACTCAGACAGTTTCCCCATTGTACTGGCAATGCAAAGTCAAGTAAGAGAATGTCAGTTGGTTTAACTTAGACATGGCCAAGAGTTCTTGGCACGGAATTATCAGGAGGTTAAAAAATTTTAGCTCATGATAAGATACTGCGAATCCACGGATTTTCGCCATATAAGAAAAATAAAAGCTGTGTTCTCCAATTTCAATTTTCTCCTCATACGTTCACATTTGCGGTAATACCGTCGTTTCAAAAGAAAAAAGCACGATGATAACTTCAGAGAAACTGACGAGTATGTGAACGGGTCTAGTCACACCGATGCCCTACCACTCTATTTCAAACCAACGCTTTCAGGTTATCCATCCGCTCCATCGTTTTCTTTAGAACCATCTATGTACACCTATGATCCATCATCCAATTTTCATGCGGGAGCAATAACCTCGGGTAGGTATTTTCTCTTGAGCGCTGAGAACTTCTTAACACTACAGAACATGCACAACAGGCAGTTCGATGTATGGTCTTCCTCCGGCAGATCCTTTTCAAAGAACTGATCCCATGGTCATGGGCAGCGCCAACACTGAACAAAAAGATGTTGAGCTCAGCGATAAAAATGGGTGAGTGAGTGAACAATTCGTCTTCTAACTGAAAACAGTAACTTTTCATTTTATCCAAAATAGCAACATTAGGCCTCACTCAACCAAAGTTCTTTGACGTCCCTTCTCTGCAGATGTCTGCTTCGAATGTCTACAGAGAACTTAAAGACAAGCTGAGCGTTTAGTTTGGTTTCAGTTTAAGGCACGTCGGGCGCTCACCTGCGAGAAGAATCCATGTCATGTGGGAGGTAGGCGGGCTGTAGAAAAGTGACACTTTCGACCTTCGAAAGGGCGCGAATTTGTGGCTGAGGTTGATGCCGTTTCGGTCTCCATCAGACGTCCGTAAGAAGTAGGTGCAGCGATCGACATGAATGGTCAACTGGAGGCTATGCCTGGGACTCACCTATAGGGGCCATAAATTGCACATGACTACCATAACTATCTAGCCCCGTTCCCGCACTGAGGGAAAGGCACTCTACAGCTTTCAGCCCGTTCACCTCAAGCATGGTTGGGAATTTGATCTCTGAAGGTAGGGAGAAAAACGCGTGTTTACAAATCAGTGAGCTTGGAAAGACATTCATTCGGAGATCAACCTTCTGAGCTCATTGTACGAGAAACGTCTCACTGCTCATTATACGAAAAACGTTCCAGTTCGAAAGCGGAGGACGAGGATGATGGAGCCGACGCGCTTGAGGACGATGGAGACGACGAATACGATAGCAACGGTCAGGACGTTCCTCAGTGTGCATATGGAAACTAGGTACAGGCACAAGAAAGTGCTTCTGAGGAATTTTATTTCAGGGAAACGTAAGAAGCGGAAACGACGAGTACTCTTCACCAAAGGTCAAACGTACGAGTTGGAGAGACGATTCCGCACCCAGAGGTTCGTCACTGTGAGAACCAACTTCTCCAAGAAAGTTTCATTGAAACACAACATTTTGAGTCATACAGGATGTCAGTTGTTCTAGCCAGAGCCATCTATTAACAACCGATCAATTGCTATAACATTTTTCCAGCTGACTGAAAACTTAGCGACATAGTTCGCGATCATGGGGTCGGTGCAGACTCATACCATCTCCGCCTCTCTCACTGGTGAGCCCCTCCTGATACGGTAGAGATGAGAGAAGCATTAATAAAGGAGGAACAATCGTTGTGTTTTCCGGCCTATGTTAGTCATCCATCCGGTTACCGCTGAGTGCGTTTTGCGCCAGTATCGTGCAAGGCAACTGTTTTACCACATACATTCATGTAGTGGGCAGTTTTCTGTAAGGCTGCATTTATACTTTGCGGCAGCGTAGCGTAGCGTAGCGCAGCGTAGCGTAGCGCTTCCAGCGTACGCCAGCGGCAGTGCCGAAGAGAGGATGCATATCGATCTAGCTTCACCAGCGTAACCAGCGTTTCTCCAGCGTTTCACCAGCGTTTTGCTAGCGTTTGCAGCGGCAGGGGACTAGAGACTATGGGAGAGCTGGAGGGTACAAAACCCATCGATTGCGCGTCTCCCACTCGCCCTTAGTCTCTACAATGTACATCGCGTCTGCGTCTCCGACGGCCCCATAGTCTCCTACAAGCACATCGCTTCTGCGTCTCCGACGGCCCCATAGTATCTTACAGTACACCGTCGATTCGGCGTCTCTGCCGGCCACATAGTCTCTATCCCTGCCGCTGCAAGCGCTAGCAAAACGCTGGTGCCGCTGGAGAACCGCTCGAGAAACGCTGGTGAAGCTAGATCGATAGCTATGCTTCCCGTGCCCTCGCTACGCCAGCGTGCGCTAGCGTGCCGCTGACGTACGCTAGCGTGCCGCTAGCGCCGCTAGCGTAGCCGCCCAGCGTGCCGCTGGTCACGCTGGTGAAGCTAGATCGATATGCATCCTCTCTTCGGCACTGCCGCTGGCGTACGCTGGAAGCGCTACGCTACGCTGCCGCAAAGTATAAACGCAGCCTAATAAGGCGTCAGTCTTACTCACAGGAGTAGCTTATTGATATATTTCCCCTCACAAGCGGAGCTTGCGCCCTTTGTTTTAGGTTATCTGTAAATTTGGCTTTACAGGTTACACTGTAGTAAGCAGAATAAGTTAGCACATGCTGCACCTGCAGCTGCAATGACTAAAGGAAAACGGGCTGTCGGAGCCAAATGTCCGGCCTCATTAAGGTGCCCCTTCTTCCTGCGAACAAGGCTGTGTATCTTAGCATGCGTTAATTTTTTCTGTTTACTTCACAAAGGCCAAACACCCAAATAGCCTCTGAAGGGCTTTCCTACATGCGATTTCATAGGAATTTCATAGGAACTTTAGTATGCATTGCAGGTTAAAGAAAGCGAAATTTAGTCATTAAGGCCCTTAGAAGACAGTTAAAAATTATGCCTATTGTCGTCCCTTCACGTCCAGCTACTAATGTGAGCCACTAACCTTGACTGGATTTCTTGACTAAAGAGTAGGTAATCGCGAGACAAAAAATCGTCCAAAAAATGGAAGAACCCGATGAGAACATCAGCTACCTACAGTTCTGATCAAGGCTCAACGGAATCCAGCCAGCTGCCCGGAAAACCCTTTATCGGGACATCGCTCATCGTGCTACACGAATGAGCGTGCACCTGAGTTCAAGATGCGCGTAATTTACAGGAGCATTGACACGGTATAGTGGAAAATAAAAGAGACGCTTAAAATTCGAAGAGGGAATCCACCGATAGACAACAAGGATGAGCCAACCATAAGAAGGACAACGGAGATAGATCACTGCTGCACCATGATGTGACATGATTGGTGATTCGTGACATATGACAAATCGCAAGGTATCAACTGTTACCGTCTTACCACTGCTTCACCAATCTAGCTGTGTCATTTCTGCAGGACAGCTGGGGAGCTGAGTCATTGTTGCGCATTCCGTCTCATCACTAGGCCATCTTGCAGCATACTCCCCTTACCCACTCCAATCCCTACCATCCCTCCCGTAGGGAGCCGGTCATTTTTCAGTTGATTGTTTTCCCGCTTTGCACTTCTTGTCATCTAGGTATTGTAGGCCGTTTATGTAATTTTGTAGACCCGAAGAAGGACTTAAGGCTCAAAACGTCGTTAATGAGATAAACGACTTGGAAGAGTTTCATTTTACCAATCACAAAGAAGGCTCAGCGGAGTGTTGCAATCACACACTGTCCTGCCCACAACACTTTCTTGAACACTTTCTTGAAGTTTAGTTCTGTTTTTTGTCTAGTGGCACGCCTTCTAGCGGATGCAGTTACTTTTCGACTATAAGATAAATCCATTCAAAGGGCCGTCATCATGCATTTGTGGAGCCCACTATGAGGGAATTAAACTCCACTATTACATTTGTCTAGTCCGATCATGTGGCTATCTATGCTTGATTGTAAACGATCATATCAGCCTATCGTCACCCTTTTTACAGCGCATGTAGGGCGCAAGGATCGAGAATGACACGACTCATTCACATTTTACAGTATGGGCTTTTGTCGACTGTTTGTTAATGTACGAAGGTGCACTTTCTCGACACATGTTTGTTCTTTGAGGTGTCTAATTCTTTCGGCTACGGTAACTTCAACAAACAGAACCATGGTCGGCTTTTCCAAGAGTCAAATATTTGGGCGGCTCAAAGCCAGCGGCATTCCTTGTAACTTAAATTTCTTTTAAAAGGATGAAAAATTCCGACAAATGTTTCAGAACATTTAATGCAGAGCTTTGAGCACTGTAGAATAGCCTGCATAGTCTACTGCATGAATTCATTTCCAATCTCTAACAAGGGAGGTGTTTCAGGTCATGGCGCGCTTGCTGGAGATGGTTTGTTGCTTGTTGTAGGGGTTTTGACAACCTTAATGGGCTCCTCTCTGCTTGTAACTTCAAGCATGCATAGTTTATGAGGTGATCACTAATTAGGCTTCAAAATAGATTCGATTAAAGTCAAAATGTAAGTATCATGTGGTAACACACTTGGCATGCACTGACGCAAGAGTGATGTTTTTGTCAGCAAACCCTTCCGACCACTGCCAACGGAGTGAATGGCGCAGTGGATAACACGACGGGTCCTGGATGGCACGGCAAGGGGGGGGGGGACTTTGTGGATCTTTCCATTCATTCGCGTGCCTGTGTGTCTAGCAATGGAAATAAGTCGAGTATATGCCATGAAGGCATATACTTGTGGCCACAATATGGCCAGAAAGCGTGCTTGTGCTGTCCCTCGTGGTTCATGTCAGAAGGATTATTGCAATGAAATACCATCACATTTATGTTCAGCGGTTGGATTGCCCCTGGGGACTAATTTCTAGCCAAATCTGACGTTTCGACCTAACTTGGAAAATGCGGGCCAACCTATGGACAATTATCAGCAGGCTGGGGTCCACCCACCATGGATGACTGGTCTCGGGATGGAATTTTCTACTGGTAATCAGGAAAATGATGCAGGCGGCACGAACAAGTGAGCCAGGTATTCTTCTTTGCGAAAAGACATGACTGAATAGTTATTTCAGTGCAAAGACCAGTCATCACCAGTATGCTAGGCGGAGTATTGCTATCATCCAGGCGTGACCATCTCTGCCCCTTTTTTTCGAAGTTGATTCAGAACCTCGGATTTCCTCAAGGTGGCGTTTCTAGGGGTTGTTTGACCCCCTGAACACGAATATGATATCTATTTCGCACGGAGAGAGCTGTGAGTCGCGCTACGGTGCAAATTCACTGCGCCAGCCCACCCGCAAGAAGAAAAACAGTGAAGGATAACCTCATAACTCCGCTCAGAGAATCGTTCCGCAAATTTTGAAGGTAGTTTCGAGTTCATTGTGTTAAGAAGAGTACAATGATTTGCACTCACTGCAAATGACCAGGTTGTCCTATTGGCCTTTCTTGGATGACATCTTACAAACCAGCACACTTGTGTGGAGAACCTTGTTTTCGGAAATGTTCACGTCTCGTTGCGTTGATACAGATGCAGAACTGCTGCCGCAATGAGGATCCGAACCGAGTCCCGCATTGTCGTGCCATACAGAACCCATCGTGCTATCCGCTACGCCAACCGATCCGCCAGCAATGGTCATGAAGGGAGCGCTGACAAAAACATCACGCTTGCGTCGGTGCATGCTGGGTGTGTTACCACGTGATACTTACATTTTGACTTTAATCGAATCTATTTTGAGGCCCAATTAGTGACCACCTCATAATCTATGCATGCTTGAAGTTACAAACAGAAAGAGCTTATTAAGGTTGTTAAAACCACCCGTTCTTGTCAAATTCTTTTCACTCCGTTTTTGACCTACCCAGAAACGCATAGCAAAAATGAAACCCATTTTTTTGACCCTTGTATGAACACCTACAACAAGCAACAAACCATTTCCAGAAAGCGCGCCATGACCTGAAACACCTCCCTTGTAAGTGCTTGCAACAGACTGTGAAAAGCGCAGGAATGAACTTGTTTGTGTTACCTTCTTTTTGACTTGACTTGAGAGAAGAAGAAGATGAAGCACACTCGCGAAGTGAGCGCTCAAGTAGCCATACCCCTTAGGCAGCCTCAGAATAGGTTTAGACAACAGGTTCCCTCATATACAAGCATAGCATTGTACCTCCAATTTTTAATGGCGGTCAACACAATGTTGATAATTCAGTATTAAAAAATTCTCATCTGTATTACTGGATAAGTTGATTGCGGCGACACCCTTCCCTGCTATGTTCTTTTGAACTTCAGAATAATTTGAGCACGTGATTTAAAGTTATGTTGAAGAGTAAATTTTACGTTTTTATAACGTGTATTCTGGTTGAGCGTTTCCACTTGTAAAGGAGTACCTTGAGTGAATATTAATTAATTAATTATTATAGTTATTAATAATTCTTAATAATTCAAGATAAATAGCGGTATTTGTCCAGAAGAGAAACTAAGTAAATCCTCACACTTCATCTCTCTCTCTCTCTCTCTTTTCTTTCTAGAGCCAGAAAAACATAAAGCAATAGTGTGGGAACCATTTAAACCATTTCAG